TGTGTGTGTGTGTGTGTGTGTGTGTGTGTGTGTGTGTGTGTGTGTGTGTGTGTGTGTGTGTGTGTGTGTGTGTGTGTGTGTGTGTGTGTGTGTGTGTGTGTGTGTGTGTGTGTCTGTGTGTGTGTGTCTCTGTCTGTGTGTGTCTCTGTCTGTGTGTGTCTCTGTCTGTGTGTGTCTCTGTCTGTGTGTGTCTCTGTCTGTGTGTGTCTCTGTGTGTGCGTGTCTCTGTGTGTGTGTCTGTGTGTGTGTGTCTGTGTGTGTGTCTGTGTGTGTGTCTGTCTGTGTGTGTCTGTGTGTGTCTGTGTGTGTCTGTGTGTGTGTCTGTGTCTCTGTGTGTGTGTGTGTGTGTGTCTGTGTGTGTGTGCGTGTGCGTGCATGTGTGCTTGTGCTAGTACATACCGACATCTGTAGATGTATAAGCACAGATATACATTTATGTTGAAGTCGGGTCTGAGTGTTTGTGCATGCTCTTTGCCGCCCTCAAGCCCGTATCCCACGAAACCTCTAACCGGAACCCAAACTACAAGCTTAGACCCCCTTAAGCTCAGGCTTCGATTCAGGTTGAGGGTTAAAGGTTTTGCCAAGGGTTTGGAGGGTGTGTTGACTGGCTCGTAGAATGATTCCAATCTGAGCCCTCAAGCATCGACACGGAGCGCTTCATTTGGGGCCCGTAGACTTGCCTGCAGCAGTGAGCCTAGAACCCTGAACAAAAACCCAACTTCTAAAGCCATGAACCCTAAGCCCTAAACCCTCAACCCTAAACACCGAAGCTGTGAACCCTAAAACCTCAAAAACCCTCGCTGCAAATTCCAAATTCCGGAGGCTGGGCGCACCCGCGCAGCCACAGCAATCTCGGCCTTTGCTGGCGCAGGCCACAAAAAAATGCCCCCAAAGCCCAAGCTCTCGGGTTTTGGCTCTTTGGTTCATCACTGAAGGGTTTAGGGGTTAGGGTTTAGGGGTGTAGGGGTTAGGGACCAAGGCCCAGAGTCTTTCTTGGGGGAGAGGTCCCTCAGGTTCTGGAGCCCAGCGCTCCGAACCAAGGGACGAACGGTGGTTTTGTTTGGTGTGTTTTTTACAGGTTTTTACAGGGTCAATCGGGTTTTGCAGGGGACTACAGGGCTTGTATAAGGTTTTCCGTGGCTCACAGGAAGGAAGGACGGGTTATGTAGGGTTTCTTGGGATTGTACGGGACCAGGGCCTCAAACTCCCGAAGGCGCTCTTAACCCTCGGGTGCGCTTGGGAGGCACCCTACCAGCGGATGGCGGTGCAGCCCAGTCGGCCAGGCACGGTAGGGGGGCACATCCTGAGAGGCTTAAGGCGCAAGGTCTTTTTTTCGGGGAGTTTTGGGGGCTCGGTAGGGGGTTGTCGGGTGCAGGCTTGGGAGCTATATAACCCCACCTCAGCCAACCACAAAACGTACTTGAATGCCAGCGGCTTGATGGTGCACGCATGGAGCCCTAAACTCAGGCTAGGCCGCCCCCCCTTCAGAGGGCAGCGCTTAAGCCCTTCGACCACAGCTCAGGGATCGGTAGCACCCACGTGGGGCCAGGTGCAGGAACCCGTTCTTCTCGGGAAGTACTGGTCCCTTTAGTAAAGTAAATACCCTAAACCCCCAGAAGGGGGGCATTCCAGGGCCCTAGGGCAGGAGGGTAACGGAGCCCTCGCCACAGCGTGCCCGAGGAGCAGGGGGCCACCCCAAACCCGCTCCGTTGCACAGCTGGACCCTCCTTCAGACCGGCTTGCACTCTTACAACCCCCTGACACGAACGTCCTGAAACGGAAGAAGTTTTTGGAAATGTCTGATGTTAGGCCTATAAGCCCTAAAGGAATAGGTTTGGGTGGCTTTGCCGCCTCGGACGGCGTGGGGTGGGAGGAAAGTGTTAGATGGCCTTCCGCAATCGGGCCAAAGCTGCTCTTCGCCTCACGAAGCTGTTGAGCTTGTGTTCCAAAGCCTATAACCTTCACAGCATCTACGCCTTATCACAGCAAACCCTAAGCCCTAAGCCCTAAACCCTAAACCCTCAGCCCTGTATAGGTTGCAACTAGATCTCTGTTCAGGTCTTGGCGCTGCAGAGGTGGCGCAGATGGCTGCGGCACGGTATCCCCTGCCCTGATCTGGGCTCTGACACAGGCTTTAGGCCCCTTCGGGCGGCGATTCCACTGAGGGACTATTCACGCAGCCCACACTCCCAAACCCCTCAGAGACCCAAGCCCTCCACTGCGATGGGCTTCTCTAGTCAATGGTCCCTTGTGAGGTTTCTGGTTGCATTTCGGAAGCTTCAGTTGTGCACCACAGAAAGTTAGCCACATTTTAGTGCCTGTCAGAGACTGTGTTTCGGACGGCTTCACCGGAGCAGGCGTAGGGGGAGCTGCGCCTCGGCGAGAAGCGCGGTGCCGTGATCTCACGTGTGTGATCGTTTGTGCAAGGAGCGGGACACGGGGCAGCGAACCGGTTTCCTGACCGGCGGGATGGGCATAACCCACGAACCCCCAACCCCCAAAACCCTATGAACCCCAACAGCCCACCGCTCCTTGATGGCTTTGCTATGGGATTATGCAGTTTTGTCGTGAAGCCAAGTGCTGGTTGCAGCCGGCCTTCGACCCGGCAGCTTACCCAGGAGTTTTAAGGTTTGTTCTATGAAGAGGCCGAGCCACTCTCTAAAGTGGTTACTTCAAGTTGTGTTCGCCTCCTGAAAAAGGAATCACCCCCCTTTCAGGGAGCAGGTAACCTGCCGGGTCGCAAATTTTAGGAGCTTCGTGACCATCAGGGGAGGCATCCTTCAGCTTCTGAAGAAACAGGGCCCCTTCAGCTCGCCGGCGCTTTCTGCTCTCATCTGCTCGAGTTTGATATTTTGCATGCTCAAAGGAGAGTGGTCCGCCTTCCGCGGCGCTTTTTCGCAGGAGCATGTTCCTTATTCGGCTTCTGCCAGATGTGGTCTTCAACCAGCTTTCTGGTAATGCAATTTTCTGGTTTGTCCCGGTTGCACGCCCTCACCCAGAAGTTTCACCACTTCGCACAACACATGCTCCGGAAGGGGGGCTCATAGAGGTTCCGGGCTTGAGCGGCTTAGGGTGGAACTTCTTATATGGGGGTTTACGATATTCGGGGTACCTTAATTGGGGTCCTGATTAGAAGCGGATCCTACTATTCGGGGGTCGATATTAGGAGTCCCTACTTATTATCGTAAACCCCCCCACTTGGGGTTTCTGGGCCGCACCGAGCCCTCTGCTCATGGCAGTGTACGCGGCACCTCCCGTGGATGTCGATGGCGGTGAGGGGCCAGAAACCGAGCTGGGGTTTTGAGGGTTGAGGGTCGAGGGTTTAGGGTTTAGGTTTAGGGTTTAGTCTCCCGTCGTTGGCCCATTTCACTTGGGGATTTTTGCGGGCCTTTTCCGGGCGTCTCTCACTTCTTTTGAGAAAAACATGCCCATCGTCTAGATCAACCCCCTATTTGTGGGCTTTCGGGCTGTCGTAGTGAAGTTCAGCCCAGAGGCGACTCCGCCCCTGTATACACCCATAGTAGAAGCTCTCTCTCTTCAGTGGACTTCCAACAAGGGATCCCTAGTTTTCGGGGAAGTTTCACGAAAGGGCTGGATCTTGGGCTCGCTCTCACGCGGGGTCTCCGAAAACTCCCCACGCCCTGCAGCCAAAGAGAGAGAGGGAGAGGGAGAGGGAGCGAGAGAGAGAGAGAGGGTTGAGAGTGTTGAGGGTTCTTAGGTCGTGATGTTGAGAAGTGACAGAGGGAGAGAAGGGCGGCTCGGGCTTGAACCCCAAAGGTGCAAGCCCTCAATCTCCCTGAGGTCACGGTTTGTCACAAACCAAGGCCCGAGATTCCAATCACCTATTTGCCTTCCCTCTGGGGAAGGGTATGGGGCTTGGGGTCTTGGACACCGATCTATAGGGCTTCGGACTTGCAGGCATCAGGCCTTTTGTCCTATAAGAGTATCCAGAATTGTTTCCAAGCGGCTCTGCCCTCTCCCCAAAAAAGAAATAGAAGTCTCCCAAGGTCCCGCCCAGTGGGCGACTACGCCGCCAAGGAGGTCCTGAAGCCAAGTGCTCCTTCGCAGTTATCGGCCTTCTTGATGCTTATGCTTTGGCATGTTCCCCTTTATATATACCAACAGTCCTTCATCGGGAATATAGTAACCCCCCCTATTATAGTCCTTATTAAGGACTGTTGTATAAGTTCCCCCTTATACTAGCATGTGCTTGTTTTTGCTTGCAAGGGGGATTAGGGTTTAGGGGGAGACCCGGAGCTCGGGCAGGTTGCGGAATGCTTCCAGATCGGCGAGTGATAGCCAGTTGTAGTTGTTTCAGTCTGTATCCCCAAAGGTCTACGCTCTGCATAGTCCCCTGCATCTCCAGGTAGATTCGAAAGTTTTTGGATTAATTCTGAGGTTTAAACCTCCCCAATGGAAAAACGATCAATGTTCCAGAGCCGCCATGCCCTTGCGTGTCCCGCAGTCGCAAGTCCAAGCGGCGCTTGGGCCGAAATCCTTGCCTCCTTAGGGGTTTGGGGAGCTTTTGCTACTGCAGTAAATGTTCTGCTCAGTTACCCTTTCTGCAAATGTTTTTGGAAATCGGAAATGTGACTCTGGACCCAGTTGCCGTGTGGGAGAAAGCTGCCCCCACAAACCATTAACAACAGCCTAAGCCCCAAGCCAAACCTTCGAACCCCTGGATAGCCTCAGCCCCCCAAATCCCTGAACCCCTCGGCACACCTTGAAGTCCCAACGTCAAATTACACCATGCGAAGCGCGCGGGAGGTACCGAGGAGGCGACGGTTGCACGACTCAGCTTTCTTCAGTGACATCCCCATGACAAGTACTAGCAATTTCGGACTGGCCCTCTCAACCCTAACAAAGAAAGTAATCTGAACGCACTGAAGCCCTGCACCCCTACCCCGAACCCCCCGTGAACGCCAGAAGGTTGACTGTCGGAAGGTTTCGCAAGGTTTCTCCGTTTCGCGCCCTTGTCTCAGACGGGTTTGCGGGCGACGTACCAGCCACAGTCACAGTCGCAATTGTTTCCGACGAATTGTTTTTTGTTTTTGTTCGGCTGCACGGTGGAATTCCCGTTTCAGGTGTTTGGTTTAGTTTAGTTGTATAGTCCATGAAACCAAAAATGGAGCCTGTTTCGCTCTTATGTTGCTGGGCAACTGGTCAGGGTTGACATGTTACAGGAAGATAGGGCGGTTGCCGGGCGACGGCAGCATTCCTAACCCCGTGGAGGAAGATGACATCCTGATGGATGCTTTCGTCCACCCACTCCTCGAGCGATTCAGCGTGTGCAAGGACTTCTGGAGCAAGGTCTGCAAGATCAAGCCCTAAAGCGTGGCAGGCGCCGTGAAAGCACAAAGCTCTATACAGCGCTTCAGGCACGTAGTTCCGTAGCGCTTTCACAAGAGTGTCCCTTCGTTTTGGGCCCCCAAAGCCTAAACCCTCCTGCCATTCAGACTCTCCGACATAGACGGCGGCTGCCAGACCTCGGCTCCCCAAGTACGAAGCCCCCGCCCCCCCCCCCCCCCCCCCCAATAGCTGAGAAGGCCCGGACATGGACCCGCGAGGATACCACACCTGCTCCTGGCGTTCTCTGCGTGCCGTGCCGACGTTTTTTCTGTTTTTAGGTTCCGGCTTGTTCATGGAACCCAGCCGAACCGTGAACTCGCAACCTTAGCCGATGTAAGTTTGCGGTGGGCTGAAGACATCAGGTTTTTGCGTGCGAGTACTCCGGAGATTGCGGGAGCTCAACACTTCGAGGTGTTTCAGCCCCGGGGCGGCTTAGGAGGTTCGATTATGAAAAGATAAATGAACAGAGATAAGGCATGCATCATTTCATTTAGCGTACAAGAGTTAGGATAGGGAGGGGGGGGGATAATTTGATCCGATCATTCTCCCGCGATGCGAGCCCGTACTTGAGCTTACTCCACCCTCCAGACTGCGCAGGCTCGACAAATTTGACCCCTAAACCCCGAGCCCCCAAAACCACAAAGCAACCCGGTTTAGGGTTTAGGGTTTAGGGTTTAGGGTTTAGGGTTTAGGGTTTAGGGTTTATAAGGGTCCTCAAATCCCCAGCCCTGAGAACCAAAGCCCTGAACCAAAGCAGCTGCAAGCCCAGGGCTTGGATCTTTTCGCTTGACCATCGGAGGTTTAGGGTTTATAGGGTTTAGGGTTTATAGGGTTTAGGGTTCACAGGGTTCACAGGGTTCACAGGGTTGATAGGGTTCACAGGTTTTTTTAGGGTATTGAGGTTTAGTAGGGTGTGGAGTATTACGGGGTTTTAAGTTTTAAGTGTTTTGCTTTCGGTGGTTTTGTTAGAGTATTTAGGTTCAGGGATGCTGGGATTAGGGCGTTTCAGGATGGGATTTGGGTTGGAACCCTTACTGAACCCTAAAACCTAAACCCTAAACCCTAAACCCTAAACCCGAAGGTGCACGTGGACCTGCTCGCACGCAGAGAAGGCGCACGCGCAGACTTGTCACACCTTTGTCAGGTTTAGGGATCACAAAGGGTTTAGGGTTTAGGGCTTAGGGTTTAGGGTTCATATGTCTGAGCCTTCTTTTTGAGGGATCCCCGAAAACCTGCAGAATTCCCCAATGCCCTCCTAACGCCGGTATCTTATTCAAGAGCTCCATGACCTTATAATTACTACGTATGGTGTTGTCCGAAAACACAAAGGCCCTTGCAACAGTTCGAGGGTTAAGCCTCCTTGAATCCCTAGACCGCCGTTCTGACCGTAAGCGCCGGCAATCATCTCGCTACACCCACGTGTACATACTTGGGATGTTCCCCTTATACTGTACCAGTCCTTAATAATTAGGGACTATAGTACCCCCTATTCCCTAATGAGGACTGTTAGCATAAGGGGAACATCCCGATGCATACTGCAAAAGTCCAGATGTGGGTGTGCCCTGAGGCACCCGCAGTGTACTAGGGTACTAGGGCTAAGGCCTTTGGCGAGGGGGGGGGTGCGGCTGGGGTTTGGTTTAGGTAAGAGCGTCCTGGTTAAGGACTCATTCATGCTTGTATCATTACACCCTATAGCCCTGAACCTTTCCGGTGTCCCCGCAAGACCCTCAGGGCTTCCCCTGATTGGCCCCTAAACCCTAAACCCTGCCACAGGTGGTTCTGTGCGGCGGGCGGAGGGAAAGTTAGCTGCCATGCTGCAGATAGAGAGGGTGGGGATGGAGACTTTAGGGTTGAAGCTTACCCTATGGCTAAAGTCGGCTAACCCTACAACTATAACCAACTAACCCTGTAACCCACTGACCATAAGCCCTGTACAGGTTGTCTGTCATTTGTCACAGGTGCTCTTTCCGTAAGAAGGTGTCGGGTTTGAGGGTTCAGTCTCCTATACCCCGGAAGCCTTAGACCCTAGGACCCTAGCCCCATACCCCAAATCCCCAAAACCCTTTCTTTCAGTGCGACGAACGAAGCAGTCACCTTGTGACCAGCATACAAAAACCAAGGGCAGATCTGCACAAATGTGGCAGCACAATGAAAAGCAAGATTCCATCACTCAGCGACGCCTTCGAGGGCTGTCCCCATCCCTTGCCGGGTAATATCCGAGGGTTTAGGGCTTAGGGTTTCGGGTTTAGTGATCCACAAAGCCCTTCAGATGAATACTGACAACCCCGGCCTGAGGAATGTTTTTTTTGCGTTTGTAGAGGCTGGGAGTTCCATGCCGTTGGGCTTTGGGATTCAGACTGAGAGGTATATGGTCACTTCTCCAAAGTAAGATCCCTTTTGGGGGTCCTGATTTCATGGCGGCCCCTCTTATCTAGGGCACCCCAAAAAGGGACCCTAACTTAGAGAACTGACCATTTAAATGAGGTACAGGCTTGACTGGCACATGTCTAAGTGCAGTGACGACTAAGGAAGTGACCCCAGCCGAGTGCAACCAGGCCATCGACAGCAGGGTCACCAGCCGCCACTGAGTTAGGAAGGGAATTGCGGTTTAGGGTTTAGGGTTTAGGGTTTGGGGTTTGGGATTTGGGGTTTGGGGTTTGGGGTTTGGGGTTTCCACGCGAAAGCTTCTCGGCAAGAGGGCTGCATAGCAAACTCTTTCGCATGTCGCTTGGCTGCTGGAGCTCTAGAAGCCCCCTGAGTCAGAGGTGATACAAGCCTTTAAACAACGGTGGGCGGCACTCCATCGGAACCTCGGCCCTAGACCCTGAAAGAAAACACTCTGTGGCGAGTGGCAAACCCCCAGTCTCAAGAAGAAAAGAGTGTTCAGTTGTAAAATGGAGGGGTTTAGGGCCAACCCTGGGCGAAATCCTGGAATGCAGAAGCCTACCTTTCACCAGATACCATCGGATGTGTTGTCCAAGTGACAGGAATGCGATTTAAGAGTGCAAGCCGACGCTACGGAACGTCCTCAATAGCTGATTTTAGTCATGAGCCCCGACGCTCGACTTTCCTGGATGATGAGGCCTTGAAATTGGCATTTCTAAAACAGGGGTACCTCTAACATACCCCAAAGTACTATAATCCTAGGAACCCCTCAAAAAGTGTACCCCTGTTTTCGGAACCCCCCCCCCCAAGAAAAGAATAAAATGACCCTCTTCCACATCCACCTCCAGGCTCCAAGCATTCGCAGCTGCCAACCGACGGGTGCGTATAGCAGTGCTCCCTTGGCAAGCCATGGCCCTGCGCATCCTTGCAGCCCTTCTCGCATTTGTGGCCGCACGCGGCGAGGACATCGAGGCTGCGATGGCCGCAGACGACACCTGTGCCTCAGGCGGCGACTGCAGCCTGGAGCTCCACCAGCTGCGCGGCATGAAGGTCGACTACCTGGAGGCTTTGGAGGATGCCTCCAATGATGAGGAAGATGAGGAGGAAGCCGTGTACGTGGAAGAGGAGGTGGAGGGCGGTAGCTGCACCAACGCCAACGACATGAAGGTGTGGAAGCATGGTGGAAGGAAGAGCTTCGACGCATCCCTCAACCACTGTGGCCGCTCCTGCGCTGCCGGCTATCCGTGCACCAAGGACTGCCGGCATGTTTGTTTTGGGGTTTTGCGGCCCTGGCTTGGCGAATTGTGAGAACAGTGTTTGAGTCTGCGTTTTGGATTTTCGATTGGGGCTGTAGTGACTCATCGAAGGACTGCATGCAGAAGAAGGGCTACTCGGCGGGCTGTGCAGGCTGCATGGCCCAGTTGGTGGGCTGCTCGAGGGACCACTGCATGAACCAATGCATCTCGGCCTGTAGACAAAAAGTTTGTCGTGGCGATGGCCGCGTCACCTATAATGTCCAATATTCAACACGGTACCCCAATCCCGAAAACAGAGTTGTTGAACAGGGTGTGGGTTGCTGCCTGAATCTACGGCAATCGAACTCTGACACGATATTGCCTGTTGCAGCTGCCCAGTCCAGGCATTACCAACGACAAGGCACCCGCGTGCACGCACTGCGTCAAGTCCAGCTGCCGACCCAAGATGAAGGCTTGCAGCGGGCTCAATGCTGGCGGCCACTGAAATAGTAACTGGCCGCATGCGCGAGCACTGGGTCACCCAATGCGGTGGGCTCGGTGCTTCAGTTTTGTACATCGCACACGGTCTGCGGAGCTCTAACCGCGACTTCAGACCAGAAGCCTCCTCAACGCACGTTTGAACATGTTTGAACCAGGCGTAGCAACTTCCCGTAAACTGGCAACAGCTGCGGCTAAGAAGAAACAATGGTCTGCATTGCCCCATTGCGCACTTGGTAAACTATATGATCTTGCGAATGCGAGAACTTGTCGCTTTGCTATAGAATCATTGCAGACTGCCACACCAGTTTCTGTGCTGCTGCCATCTTCAAGGTTTGCGTTGTCTCCAAAACACTACTTACGAGGATGCCGACATTATAACAGATGTGAATCTAGAACCTGCCAGAGCGTCGCAGCAACTCGTACGTCTGAAGGCATTGCGGACCCCTTTCTGAGTCTGGCATCCCTATTGCAGTACGGCATCCAGGTTTGTGGTCGGATTTGCAATGGGCTTCTCGCGGATGAAGCTCATGCAGGCAAGAACCATCGTGGCGCTGCTTCTGTTTGCGGCCATCCCGGGCTACCGCCTCACAGCGCCTTCAGCAGCAACGGCCAAGCCCGCGGCCGTGCGCACGAAGACGCTGAAGATTCGTATGTTTTGGGTCCGGCAGCTTGGCTGAGCACCTCTGGGGTATGGGCTCTCACCGTTAGAGAGGGCTTCGGGCCATCCGGGTTGAGGCTGCGGACCCTATAGGCCCTACGCCCCAAACCCCATAAACATGAACCCCCAAACCCTCATAGACCCCAGACCCTCAACCCTCAACCCTAAACCCGAAGCCCGAAACCCCGCGTTGAGACCCGGGGGGGGGACGGGGCGTGGTGTTCGGAAGAGACCAAGGCATGGCCTCTCCTGTGCAAACATCCTCCAGTACAAGTGTACCAAGGCGGGGTTTGTGTGGGGATGTTAGTGCTTTTCGTTTTTTTGGGGGCTTTGTGTGGGGATGTTAGGATATGTTAGGGCTTTCCGTTTTTGGGTCGTTGTTCCGTGCCTTCGTTTTTTGTTTATTAGGTGGTTTGAAGGTTTTGTTTGGGTCTTTTAAAGGTTTTTGTAGGGCTTTGCGTTGTTTTTTTTTTTTCAGGGGGGGGGGAAGGGTTCTCAGGGTTTGTAGGGTGTGTTGGGGTTTTGGGGGTCCATGCGCTCTAGGACTGTCCAATGCCCCCAAAGCTTAATTAAACCCGCAAAAGCTCCACAAAAGCGCGAAACCCCAAAAGCCCTAAATCCTACAACGCTCCCGAGACACCCAGTATAATTAATAGAACCCCTAAAAACCCATTTCCGCAACCTATAGAATGTAGACCCTGAGCCCCAAAGCTAGAACACCCCAAAAAGCCCTTTAAACCCCTCTAAGCCCCCAGCCCTCTGAGTTGTTTGGAGTTACAGGCTTTCGGGTTTAGAGGAAGCCTAAACCCTACACCCTAAACCTTAAACCCTAAAGACCCTACAGACCCCAAAACCCCTATAGCCCCTATAAACCCTATAAACCCTATAAACCTATAAACCTATAAACCCTATAAACCCTGAACCCTAAACCCTCAACCTTAAGCCCTAGACCCAACCAAGCCTTCAAAAGCCCAAAACACCTGGGAGGACCCGGCCCTGGCCGAGCGTCTCTTCCAGGAGACGCGCCCAGACCTGGAGGCCGGGGTATTTGTTAAGGGCCTTGGGGTGTTTTGGAGGATTTTTTTTTTTTTTGGGGGGGGGGGGGGGGGGGGGGGGGGGGGGTTCTGGAGGTTTTGGGGGGTTTGGGGAGGTTTGGGGGTCTTGGAGGTTTTGGTGCTTGGGAGTTGGGGAGTTTTTGTTGGGGGGAGGGCGCGAGGGCGCGGTAGGTCTGGGCCCCGCATTTGCGTTAGACCCTTGGCGGGGCTGAGGATTGTGTAAGCGCTAGCGGAGCTTTGCTGTCAGAGCTGGCCAAAGCGGTTGATCATAAAGAGTATAAAGAGGATGGTTTGGGATGTCCCCCCCCATATACTAACAGTCCTTATATTGGGGATTCTAGTACCCCCTACCACAATCCCTATTAAGGACTCTTAGTACAAGGGGTAACATCCCACTCAGGATGGTATTGCAAGGCATGTCGGATGTAGACATCTTGAACGCCCCGCCAAAAACCCTAAACCCTAAACCCTAAAATGCTCGCAGGCCGCGGTGCGACGACACTTTGCCATGACTGGTGCCCTTAATGGAGGCTCTGCTGAGGAGCGGCTGGGCACACGTGGGACCAAAACATGAAAAAACGTGCACCCCATGTGTCACCCCCTCGGCCTATGGGGAGGCTTCTGCAGGCTGAAAGGACTCCGTGACCTCCTTCCCCCCCCCCCCCCCCACACCCGCTCGAGCGGACTCCAAATACCCATTTCTAGGGTTCTGCAGCAGATTTCCGTTTGCTGGTTTCCGAAGTGGAAGGGTGCCTTCTTTGGGGGTTATCAGGGAATCCTGCTATTTGGGGGTCTATATTCGGGGTCCTCTATTTTCGTAAAGCCCCCTTTCAACTAAAGGCTGCGGCTGGGCCACAACTTCAGCCGAGAGGCCCACATCGACGAGTCGCGGTTGCATGTTTTATGCCTCGGGCGGCAGCGTTTGTTTGTCATGAATACGGCTTGGGATGCCCCCCCCGCCCCCTTTAGAATAACAGTCCTTAATAGGGGTTATAGTAGGGGATACGATGTAATCCCTATTGAGGACCGGTAGTATAAGGGGGGAAATCCCGATCTACGGGTATGATCGTTTTGTTGCTGACCTCGCCATTCTCAGGAAGTGTCGTGTGAGGGAAGTACCTGGCGGTTTAGGGGTTTGGCGTTAACTACGGCACGAATAGACACTGCAGCCACAAACGATGCCAAGCAAAATGCGATTTATAGAGCACCCGTTGAAACCTAAGCCGGTACTGAGGATGACTACAAGATCCGCTCTGCCGGAGAGAACCGCTTTACCGGCACCTCAGAAAGAAAACCCACGAGCACGTTGGGTTTCGAGGTTGCGCCGGTGCAAGTTCTTTGAGACGTGGCCTTGTCAGGTAGGCCACCCCCACACTCCCCCAAATCCACGAATCCTAAGCACGCCTGGGCACCCGAACCTTACTGGCTTCCTTCATGAACTAGGGATTTAGGGCATGCAAACAAGCGGCTCGGAAGTTGTACGAAGCACAGGAACTGTCTTTCAGCCCCTGGTTGGAAAAATGCTTCCAGCCAGTGCTGTAGGTGGCCCCGAGTAGTGACTTGGTCATGTTGCACCTCCCCCCCCTAGCCCTAGTCCCTAAACCCTAAACCCTAAACCTAAACCCTAAACCCTAAACCCTAAGCCCTAAGCCCCGAAGTTGCCCTTACCAGGTTTCCAGGAGCTCACCAACGAGGCCAGCGATCCCTCCAAAGCACCCGAAGTGTGTCCTGGCAACAGTTAAAAACCTCAACCCTAGACCACTACTAATTGCTCAAGAACCCCCTCCCAAAAAAAAAGATCAGAACATATTCTTCCTTATCAAGGGGAAAATATAGGGGTTATTGTTTTTTTGTTCTTTTGGGGTTCTTAAGCAAATAGTAGACCAGGGATGCCCAGGCTCGAAGCCCGAAGCCTCTCAGCCTCTCGAGTATGCTCTTCAAAGGTTTCAGGAGGCCGTGTAGAGGCTGCTTGGGGCTTCTAGTTGCCAGTCTTCAGCCTTGAGGGTTACCACTTTCATGGGTTCAAGTTGTCAGGATCTGCGTCCAGGAGCTCTAAAACCCTTCTTTTGTGATTCATGGCTTGGCTTGGCTCCCGCTTGCGGTCGCCCTGGACGCCTTGTGGCCCCGTCCCGTAGGGTTTAGGGTTTAGGGTTTTTAGGGTTTAGGTTTTTTTGGGTTTAGGGTTTAGGGGCTTTTGCTCCCCATGGCCTTTGAAAGAGCATGGGTATGGTTGTCTGGCTTTTCACCTCTTCATGCGAGCACCTCATGTCCAAAAGCGCGTGGAATCAGGCGGGTGAGGCACTTCCTTGCACCACGGGTTCTGCCCAGAGGTCGAACTCGAACATCCATGGACAGACGACAGATCTCAGCTCCCATGCGGCCTCAGCTCTTTCAAGTCACAACCCCTCATCTCTCAACTTTAAACTCGAATTTTCTCCTTCAGCCCCATAAACAAGCCCTTAACCCACTCTCTATCAACGCGATCCTGAAGGATTCACATCAGCCAAAGTGTACGCCGGGATTATTGACTGTCGACCCCGAATGTCAGTAAGACTTGTGGACATGGACGACACCCTCAGGTGCACGACAAAGATTCGCCGCTTTCCATCCGACCCCGAGCTGTATGAGTGGGTGGGGAAGAAGAGCGCCACATGCAGGCAAAGCTGTGAGGCAGGGTTTGCAGGGTGCAGGGTTGGGGTGTAGATTTGACAGGGTTTCGGGGTTGGGGGTGTAGATATCAGACTGTGGGCTTAGAGCTTATGGGAGGGCCTGGAGCAGCACACCTACTCGCCCCCTCGGGAGCCTGAAACTGTGTACGGGACCCTATACTACACCCTAAACCCCACGCCGCTGATGTTGCAGGCAGACTCCTGCTGCGGTGGTGTGATTCCGCTGCATGGCCTCTACCAAGATCCATTCCTTACGGACTGCGCCGCGTACCAGTCCCAGGCCAAAACAGTTGAGGGTCTGCAGGGTTGAGGGCGGCAGGGCAGCATGCATGAATCTTGCGCACAGTAAACCCTAAACCCTAAACCCTAAACCCTAAACCCTAAATAGGGGTCTGTGGATGCAGGCGGCTGGGCGACGCTTTTTGTCCCATCTTGCAGACATCGGCCATCCCAAGCTGGACCTGGTGGCTTCGAGCAACCTCATGCGTGCCATGGAGACGGCCTACAACATGTTCTTCTTGGGACCCACGGGAGATGAGCGATTGAAAGCCCTCGTCCCGGCTAGCCTCAAGCCTGTGCCATACATGATCGAGAAGCACCACGGGGAACATGGCTTCGTGCA